CGATGGTGGAAAGAGATGCCAAATAGGCGCGCTCTTGTCAAAGCCCCCAGCTGCCTCCCTATTCCAGGCAGCAGCCAAGGCCTCCGCTGGACCGTGCAGCAGGTCCACGGGAATATCCCCCAGCTCCCTCTGAAACCCTGACGGGTCCATCAGGCACCGGGGGTGGACCAATCGTATGGGTCCTGCCTCCCTGCGGAGGGGGGTGGCATAGGAGAAACTCAGAGTCATCAGGACGTGATTTATGCTAACTCAGATCATTAAGACTGTACTAAGACACTCTGAAGTCTTTGTTGCCTGTATGTCAGAATCTGGACAAGGCTCAAATCACAAAAACATAATGCTTCTCTACACAGAACATCTCACATTGTTGTTATTGTTTTACTCGTCTTTACTTCTATAACTTGATGTTGTTCAGAAAGCCTTCAGGCATCATTAAAGTTCAGGAAATAGGCATCACATGTGGTCACTTCATGGAAGGAAGTGGTTATCATAAAAATGGCAATGACGTGAACACATCTAATGTCAGGCCTTAGGCCAGATGTATGTTTTCAAGAGAAATGTCTTCAGAGGCTGAATATTGTATATTGAATACTGTTTATTGTTTTATTTCATTGAGCAAAACATACGAAAGACATTACATGTGTGTTTTGGAATAATAGAAAGTATATTACTGTATCTCTTTAAAGGAAAATCAGTGTTAAGAGTAGGAGGGATTAAGTAAAAAACAAATTCAGAATTGTGTCCCTGTTTAACTTTCAAGTACCTCATCTTTTTCTCTGACATTCATCCAGTTTTGTGTATGTACTTCAAAAACAGCTGCTGAAATGTGTTACCAGGACTGTTCATTTGAGTATGTGTTTTTGCATTAGTAAAATGCTCTAAGCTTTTAAGTTTGCTACAGTTAGATTCTAATTAGGGTTGCTTATGTTTTGTGATCAGGTAAAGCGATCTAGAAGCAAAGGAGGATTAGCTGGTCCTGATGGCACAAAATCTGTATTTGGACAGATGTGTGCCAAAATGAGTTCATTCAGTCCAGATAGTCTTCTCCTACCTCATCGTGTTTGGAAAGTCAAGTTTGTTGGTAGGATTTCTTTTCACTTAATCTAAGTTTACAGTACTTTCCCTTTTCCCTTACATAATATATATTACAATAAGTATTAAAAAGAAGAAATGTCAGCCATAATTTTTCCTTAGTATTAAATGTTGTCAACTTGTTCTCAACCCAAATTGACTGCACTTTTGTCATTCTCAATCAAAAAGGTACCTTGGCTAAAAAAATACTTAAAGAAATTTCTGTTACATGTTGCTTGCTGGATATTTTTTTCCTTGGTATTTCTTTTACTTTGCCTATACATGTAAATAAATGTTTATGAAATTTAGAATAAATATATAGAACCTTAAGAGGGACTAAGGCAGTGTTGTCCAAACTTGGCCACTTTAAGATGAGTGGACTTCAACTCCCAGAATTTCCCAGCCAGCATGGCTGGCT